GGTGAATGAGGCAGGAGGCGATAAACTTTTCATCACCTCGAGTTTCAGAGTCGTCATTCACTGGCTACTTTGCCCAGGGAAGAATTTAATCAAGACGAAAATTATCTGTAAAAAATAAGTCAAGGCAACTGGACTTGCTGTATTTTTTTGAAGACGTTTCACTGGTCATCTGACCAGCTTTCTCAATTCATAATTGAGAAAGCTGGTTGGATCACCAGTGAAACGTCTAAGAAAATACAGCAAGTCCAGTTGCCTTCCCTTTTTTTTTACAGATATACCATGACCTGGATGAATGAGAACCTTCACAGACAAAACGAATATTAGCTTCAATGGAGTGCCGATAAACCGTTGTGCCAATAACACGTAACAAAAAAAATTGCAACTGTCACCATTTTTTTTCAGAAAATATATCTTTTTGGGGTGTTTAAATAATCTCCAGGCCTAAAATGTGAATTTTAACATGTATGCATAAAATAAAAAAGGCAGCAAAATGGTAAAGAGATTGAAAAGCCAGACAGGGAAAACATTCCTATGATTTGGAAGCTCCCTATTTCATTTTTTTTGTGTAGAATGTAAGAGATAGCTCTGCCTCGTTTATCGGTCATGAATATTTCAGTGTGTTTACCGATCGCCGCAAACCCGCATGTTTCATATTCATGCCACATGTGCAAAATCGCTGAGATCATTTCTTTGATCAAGTATTCGCTGCTCTTATTAGGAAGCCCTCCCATGACTGCTCGTTTCCTCGTCGAGCCCCTCATTCTTATTTAAAACTTCTTGAGTAGCCCCATTGTCTTTTGATTGCCGCAACATTTGTGCAGCTGTTTTCACTGATTAGAACTGGCAGGAAAACATTTTTTTTTTCCTCCATGCAATATTTCAATCTGCTGAATATATTTACATTGTAGTTACAAGGATGCTTGGCAATCATCTTGTGTATTTATATATGCCATAATGTAGTGGTTGTTGTGCATTCACTTTTGTCACCATTTTAACAAGTGCCTTAGATGTATGTGTTCTTTATCATACAGCAAATTTATTTTCTGCCCACAATGCAAAGGAGCCAGCGTTTGCACAGAATTCTTCTGTTCTGTATGTTTTGGTTTTTTTTAACCTTCCATATAGGCGTCTGATCTTCAATGGGCCTCACTTCCTTCCCAGCCACAATCAACAAATATTATTGAACATCCTGCTTTAGGGGATTAATGTGGGGTTACTGTCTATACGCCTAAGTATCTGTGTATACTTGATTATAAGTATTTGCTATTATCGTGGCATGTCCAATTTTTCTCCAGATGTAAGGTCTTTCTTTTATTGCATAGGAGTAAGCGCAACAGTTCATTTATAACATGCATACACATTTTCTGCCCAGCGCTATATTTAAATAAATAAAATATTAGAAAAGTCCTTTACAAGTTCATGAAAGTATTCAGTGATCTAAACTATGCCACAAATCTCTCATCAAACTTGTGCAAAAGTCCCAGTATGTGTGTGCACACTAGGGATGCACCAATACCGATACTAGTATCGGTGCCGATACCGAGTATTGGCGAGAGAGCATGGAGCCAACTTCCCGGCCAATCAGGAAGCCAGGCAGCGTGTAATGACGCGCTGCCCGGCTTCCTGATTGGTCGGCAGCTGGCCAATCAGGAAGCCGGCCGCTGTGTAATGACGCAGCGCCCGGCTTTCTGATTGGCCGGGAAGCTGGCTTCATGCTCCCTCGTCATCTCATGACGAGGGAGCATGGAGCCGGCTTCCCGGCCAATCAGGAAGCCGGGCGCCGCGTCATTACACGGCTCACAGCTTACATGATTGGCCAGCAAGCCGGCTACATACTTTCTTGTCACATAGTGACGAGAAACATGGGTTGGCTTTCTTGCTAATCGGGAAGCCAGGTGACGAGTCATTACCCGCCACCTGGCTTCCTGAATGGAACTTCCGGTACTCGGTATTTGGTATCGGCGAGTACTGGAAAAAAAATATTGGTACTCGTACTCTGTACAAAAATACCGGTATCGGTGCATCCCTAGTGCAAATGATCAAAGCAGTGCAGAAAATCCCCACAAAATTTGTGCAAACGATGCAATCAGGTGATCACTCTCCCCATCCGTGTGTGGCCACAGACTGCACTCACCAGATGTGGGGAACCATTCAGATAGAAATGGTCTTACAGCACTCAGATTACAATCCATCCATCCGCAGGAACGTTAAACTGTCATTTATCCCGTTGACCTCCTTTTCTCCATTCACCAATGCTCATGGAAAAGGATTAAAAAATAGCCATAGCATCATACCATAAAACCAATAAATGTATTTAAAAAAAATAACTCACCAAAGTTTCTGTAGCGAACACTTGTAACAAGACATGCCTTTCTAAAGCCACTGTCGGCCTGTTTACATAGGATCCAATAGTCCACTATAGCAAACATCCATAGCATAATACCAATCAATTGCACTGTAAAGGTGCCCATACACCTTACGACCATCGCAAGACTTTTGTCTTGCGATAGTCGTATGCTTCTTGAAAGCCCGTACGATCTGCCCACCTTGGACGGGCAGATCGTACTTGCGATCATCGAAAGCCCGCCCCGCTGAGGGGTGGGCTTCCGATGACGGCAATGCAGAACGGGCAGTGTGCACACACTGGCCCGTTCCGCAGCTATCGGGCGAGCAGGCTAGAAACCCTACGAGAATCGTACGATGCTCGGCGGGTTTTCAAACATGTTGGCTCGACAAAAGACGTGCGACCGTACAGTAGAAACGGTCGCACGTCTTAGTTCACACTGCTCGATTCTCGTACGATCGCGGGATTTCGCCCGATTCTCGTACGAGAATCGAGCAGTGTATGGGCACCTTAAGAGTGGCTGAACGAACGTTTGCTATAGAGGCTATTGGATCCGATATGTAAACCCGCCGGCAGTGGCTTTAGAAAGGCAGGTCTGGTTACAAGCGATCGCTACAGAAACGTTTGTGAGTGTTTGTTTTTAATCTTTTTAAATAAATTCATGGTTTTATGGGATGATGCTATGGATGTTTGTTTTTTTAATATTTTTCCATGAGCATTGGTGATTGGAGTAAAGAAGGTGAAGGGGAATGCTGACGGTTTAACATCCCTGATGATGGATGGATTGTAATTTAACTGACTGCTGTAAGACCATTTCTATCTGAATGGTCCACCTCATCTGGTGAGTGCAGCCTATAGCCACACACGAATGGGGAGAGTGATCACCTAATTGCATCGTGTGCACAAATTTTGTGGAGATTTTTTTGCACTGCTTGGATCGTTTGCACAAACTTACTGGGACTTTTGCACAAGTTTGATGAGAGAGCATAGTTGCATTGTGGCATAGTTTAGATCACTGAATACTTGTATGATCTTGTAAAGGACTTTTCTAACATGTTATTTATTTATTTAAATATAGCGCTGGGCAGTTTGTTCAAGATTGTTTGAAAGAGGGACTGAAGAAAGCTGAATTATTTTTAGATAGTAGTAGGTAGCGCGGATCATATAGAAACGTATACCGTACATATTTTCTGGGGGTTTTTTTTTTTTTTAGCAACATAGAAATATTACATTTCAGATGGTATTCACGTGTCAAGATAAAACTGAAAGGAACGTTGGACATACAAGAGCATTGTCACTTATTTATTTTCTTAACACTTGGTACATCAAAATGCTTATACATGAGCAGATTTCTACATAGTCCATGATGACCACAGTCTAGCGTGGCACAAAGACCTCTTGCCATACGTGCCACCAGTCAGCAACACCTATTAAATAATAAAAGGTTCCACACTGCCATCCTGTCGGTCAGTGCTGACTGGGTCTTTATTGTTGCTGGCCCTGTATATTTTGTTATATATTAGTTTACTGTGTACTTAGAGCTCACCCACATACAACAAAGCAGACTGGTGTGACCATTCTGTCCTGCTTTTCTAGTTGGCGGTTGAAGGTGTACTGCTGCTGTTGGGACGTTGTTTTCTTCAGCCATTCCCCCTCCAGCCTTGGTGTGCCTTCTGCGGATATGATATCTGCTCTTGTTAGTTTGTTAGTGTAATATGAAGACTTGCCAGTCAATAGGGGTATGGAAGAAATAACACAGGACAGTGGGCCTAGGGGGCAGGAAGTATAAATCTGACCCCGCTTGTACAGCTAATCCTGGAGCAGATTTCATTACATGGAAACCGCACAGGTCTGCAAGCATGGTCAATTAGCTGTTCCTCCTGAGAGCAGTCAGCAATGTGTATCACAGCTTGACTAAGATTATGAATAAAGATGGGAAGATACACATTCTGTGTTAATAAGGGATAGATCCTAGATACGGAACCTATGACAAACATGGTCTTAGAAATATAAAAAAGAGCATTATAACCCATTTAGTGATAAAGTAAAAAGTTTTAATGTGCTGTATGTATGAGTTGAAGTATTAAAAATAACTGCATGGCATTATTGTCATTGCAGGTCTTGCCAGATAAAAAAAGGCATGCATTCCTAATTAACAAGACATTGGTTAAAAATGAGAGGATAATTAAAAGGGGTAAAAATAAATGGGAAATTCTAGCTAGACAATATTTGTTTTGAATAACTTAATTTGTTTTGTGGCAGGACTACTTAGTCAATGATAAAAAGAAAGAAGGGAGAAGAATCTCCCATAGGGCATGCTAAGGATCCAAGTTTATAGCCAGAGGTCAAACTAAAGTCTTTACAACAGTCCTTTTAACAGCAGCCAATTTGGGTAGATTCCATGCTTACTAGCTGTCTTCAGTATAAGACACAGATTGTTCCATGTTGCTCCTCCAGTATCTAAGAATTGCCTGCCTCACATTGTATGATTATTATATTTTGTTTAATATGATGATATTCCCGAACAATTAATAACTTTCATCATTTAAGACTGATGTAAAACACGGGTCTTCTTGCCCTAATACAAAAATACACCATTTCCTGGTTTTGTCAGGGACAACCATATAATTATGGATACATTTTTTTGTTTTACCAGGTGATGAAGAAGAAGAGGAAACGGTGACTCCAAAACCAGCACCTGTTCCTGAAGAGGACAAACCCACTAAAAAGGAAGAAAACAGTGAAGGTATAACCATTTGTCCTGTGTTGTCATGTCATTTCTGTTCATGGTGATTGCTGATAAAGGTTAACGGCTAAATGGAAGGTCAAGCAGTATCCATTCTGCATCTTTTTCTTGCTATTCTATCATTTCTGTGCAGTGGCTACATTTGCAGAATTAACAATCGGAGGGCAAATATTTTATTTGTAAACATGTTTCCCATTTTAAAGGGATATGTCATAAAAATATAAAAATAGAAAGGAACAGATACAATGGCCATTGCAAGCTTTTTAAATGCTTTCACTTCTTATACAGCAAGTCCTTCTTTCCACTTGGAACCTCCACGTTATATTGCACCTTTATAAGACCACTTTAGACTGCCGCTACAATTATTTCTCTTGAATTCTTTCCTGGTGTGTCAGGGGGTGAAAGAAAGTAATTGTAAGGTTGACCTCATTGCAACCGACTAAGCTAGGAGTCTAAATATATTTGGACTACATTTGCTACTATTGCATTTGTACGTCTTCCCAGCAAGCCTTGTGATTCAGGCACCCAAATCATGCTTCATTGCCAGGTGGAAAATTTCTCCAGACTTACCTGTAATACCTCCTGGTGTGGGACTCCCCCCAACCTCTAATCAGACAATGAAGGTGTAGGAGTATATTAAAAACCACTGTGCAAAACAATTCAGCCCCCATTGGCTTATACTGCTGCCCTGCCCTTTTCCAATCTAAAGCTGGCCACACACCTTACAACCATTGCAAGTCTTTTTGTCACACCGGGCCGTTCGGCATTTATCTTACGAGCATGCCACACACCCGCCGACAATCGTACGATTCTCGGCGGGTTTTTGAAACATGTTCCTAAGATAAAAGTCGTAAAGTAGAAATGGTCGTACGGTAATCGCAAGGTGTGTGGGCACCTTGAGTGTTGCAGTGCAAAGGACTACAGGAGGCTGACACCCAGACAGGTTTAGGTACATCTGCTAGCTCTATGTTTAAATAAAGGGATTTTTTCTTAGGGAATATATGTTTAAACTTTATCTCCCTGGAGTTCAGCCTTGAAAGAAATTTCACATAACACAGTTTTAAAATAACACAAGCAGTGGCTTGTAAAACATTTGTATGAGCTAAAGAGGAAGTTGTGTATTTACCAGAAGTTCTTTTTAAACTGTGCCATTGATCACTGTAATGTTAGCAAAACGTCATTTACATTAAAACTCTAGCTGTGCTTTCTTCTAGGGCACCAGAACTCAGAATTCTAGAGAGCACTATTATACACAAAGTGACCAGCTGCTCCCACACCTTGCTGTTGGTCCATCACTATGATGGAGCAGCCTGACTGGCCAGTAGTGAAAAGTGGGAATTAATGGGCCAAAGCCTTGACCTGAGGTGCTGGTCGATACTTGCAGAACAGTATGCCTCTGCTTTCAGGTCATTCAAGGCACTCTACAGGAAATGTAACTGAAGCCAGTTAATTTGCAAAATTGTGCCCACAGGTTTATTGTGGGCACAATTTCTGCTGTTAGCTGTTAAATGTTTATTTGAGTGCTCTTTATGTCCATTGCCGGTAGTAGTGGATTTTTGTCACATGCTAGTAAATGGTTAGCAGCAGCTACATTGCTAGTTAACAAGGTTTATATTGATCTTCCAGCTCCACCACATGAACTCACAGAAGAAGAGAAACAACAAATAATTCATACTGAGGAGTTTGTCAGTTTCTTTGACCACAGCACGAGACTCGTCGAGCGTGCCCTTTCTGAACAGATCAACATTTTCTTTGATTACAGTGGCAGAGATCTGGAAGAAAAAGAGGGGTAATTATTATTATTTTTATGTTATTTCCATTTACTACTCATTTTAAACCATTTGCTTCTTTGATTGACTGTTTTATTTTACAGAGAAACACAAGCAGGTGCAAAGTTGTCGCTGAACAGACAGTTTTTTGATGAGCGTTGGTCAAAGCATCGTGTTGTTAGCTGTCTGGACTGGTCCTCTCAGGTATGTAGAATTAAGACTTTTAGATATTATGACATAATTTAGTCAAAGCTAGGAAACAATGGGCTTTATTAATAAACTGGTGCAAAGAGCATCATCACTTGATGGTGGTTTCAAACTTTGATTTATTTGCATATTTAATATAAAAACATTTTTAAAAAGAGGAGAACTCGTGTTAAAAGCCCATTTAAAAAAAATACCTTTATTCTGTCGATGTCCCCCACAGACATTTATCTCCGACACTAGATGCTGCTAGTATAGAAGGACAGCCAATGTCATTTAACCCACTTCTTCTGAGGCCAGGGTGTCATTGGCCTGTCCCTTGGGTTGCGTTATCACAGCAGCCTGTGCTTAGAGTGCTGCCACACTGAGCGGCATTCGCATATTATTACACGAGCGCCATTCTCTGCAGCAGTAAAGACAGAAAAGGAAGGATCCGTGACTTTACAGGACTGGCCAAAAGACACTTGGAATGAAGTGTCTTTTGGCTAGAGTTATATGTTAAAGATGTTGAATGAGTTTGCAATAGTAGACTCCATTTATACTATCACTATCCAAATTCATACCTTTTTACTAAACATTTCATATGGTAAATGGTATGTGATTGGTAAAAAGGCTTTTAGGGCTGGTTACTATTGGAACCTGCAGTGGACTCCTGTCACTTCCAGGTTGTTTCAAATTAAGGTGAAAATTGTGAGCCATTTTATGGGTCATTGTAAATTGTAAAGGTCAATTTTTCTTTTTTCAGCACACGGAAATCCATTACAGTCATGCTTTTAGGGTTTATGTTGCTTGTTAAATGCTAATAAAGCATAACACAGCTAGGTCGTATTACCTTAACAGAGAAACGGAGCATGGTCAGTGGAGCATGATGACCTTTCATTTAAAGACCAAATCAATGATAATATATGAAAACTCACTTTAGTTTATTCCTGTATTCCTAAAGGAAGCCTGTCAGGCTAGAAACAAGGAAGGTGCCATTGCTGTTGTGGTTTTGAACATACATTTTGCAGGGCTGTATTCCTTATCCTTAGAGTCACTGACCTTGAACAAACATGCAGATGAGGTGTCCTGTCTTCTGATAATCCAGGTCAGTGGCTTTTCAAGTGGTATCCAAAGATAAAGATGACAGCCCTACAGTTTGCACCTTCAAATTCACTTCAGCAATGGCAGCTTCCTTGTAAATATCCCAACCATTTCCTTTAAACAAGACACACACCGTAATATTTCACCTCTTGGCCAGTCTTATTATCTGACATTTGTGTTTATATTAAAGTTCTACACAACAGCTAAAAAAAGCATTGACTGGAGTACGACTTTATTCTACTTTAATCTGTGCTCATATGAGGGATGACTAGCAGTACTTAGGTGACCTCTTGGAAAAGACCACTCAGGGGTTTTGTTTCAATAGGGGTAGTGTTCCCTGGCAGGCCTTAAGCTGGCCATACACTGGTAGATTTATCATATGAATGTTCGTACCAAAAATCTCATCACAACATTCAATAATACCATTAGAGACTAAACAAATGTCTTCCTACATTTCATTTCATGTTAACATTTCGATTTCGGAAGGAATGGAGTTTCCTAAATAAAAACTACATTCATTGTTAGAATTTCCTTCATTTGAAAAAACATTTCCATCCTTCAGTTGTTTCCTCACTGCGGTATAAATCGATTGTTGATTTGACCGCATTCATTATTAGAATATCAAACGAACATTTCAAAAATTATTTTTTACTAATGAAATTCTAACCGTGAATACCCAGCTTAAGAGAAGCCAGAGGATTAAAGTGCCTGCAGGCTTAACCACCCCTTGCTGAGAAATATTAGTTTTCTCTAATGGCTGCTGGTGGAAAATGCAAAAACAAAAATAATCTAACACAATGGATATAAGATACATTTTAAAGAATTTGGAGGTGCGTTGCATTAGAATAGCATAGGTTCATGTTGCCGCTAATTTTTTCAGGGTAAAAAAAGGAGGCAAACCTTTTTCTATTTTGCTTTGAGTCGCACCAGTATTTAGTGGAGGGTCCTAAAATGTTAAAGTGAACAAAGTAATATACAGCTTGACATTCCATGGGGAACACCCATGCAGAGCAGATTAGGCTGTTGCACCATCGTGCTAAACATAATTCAGCTTTACTAGCATTTATTGGAAAAGAGAGTAAGGTACCAAATGACCTGATGCCAGATGTCAGTAACACAAGTATAAATGGGTTTTACATCAGACAAACATAGATCTTATTATCTTACTCTTAGATCTTACTCAGTTGAGTAATAATATATACAATTTCCATGAAACAATGATTTCTGTAAAAAAAACGTAAAACATTTTTATTCACGAGGCGGCCCAACAAAGTCATCTCGTGGAATCATCTCGTGGCCCAACGAATACTGATGGGGCGGTCTTAATAATCTGGCCACTCAGTGTACATGCTTCACTCAACAGTTGAGCCCACACTGCTCTGCTTCATCAGTTAAAACTTGAAGTTCACAACTCGCAATCCCTGCTTCTTTTTCCGGCCACCCTGGCGCATTTCAATATATGCATGCTGTAACATTTGGAGCAACCTTAGCATGTCAGTAGTGGTGAGTGAACAAGAGACAAAAATTCTTACTTCCCATGTTTTATTGAAGACTTTCTCCCCTTTGCTCTTGTGCCGTTTGATGTAGGGGGGGACTGGGACACATGCAACTTCTTACTACAGGTTAATTTGCACATTGTTATATTAAAGCATAGTACAGAAGGTAAGTATTAATGGGCTTTTTATGATTTAAATATTTCCAAATTTGAAAGAATACCTGATCTATTTCAATTACACTGGAGTTTTTTTCATCATGGTCCATTGTGTTTTTCTACCTGTCCAGTACCCGGAGCTGCTAGTAGCATCCTACAACAACAACGAGGACGCCCCTCATGAGCCAGATGGTGTAGCACTTGTGTGGAACATGAAATACAAGAAGACAACCCCAGAATATGTGTTTCACTGCCAGGTAAGGCAGATACTAATCATCTGGATGCAGGCTTTGCTATTCCCCCAAATACTAGTTAGCATAATGATTTCATTGCTCCTATTTAAACCACATGCATCTTCTAGCATACGTTGATTGAGCTCTTCATCAGTTTTTTTTTTTTTTTTTAAATCTCTTTTTTTTTTTTTTATCCTCCATTGGACCTACTGACATCATTCATATAGTTTAAGAATGGCACAAAGCTGCATGCTACTTTCCCTCTGATTTTGTATTAATGCAAGTCCTCCCCATCCGAGCTGCTTTCTCATGCCAGACAACATGTTTTGGACCATTAAACGAGTAGGATGTGGCCCGGGGAGATGGAAACGGACTTGTTTAAGTGGAAACACATGCTCCAGAATGTGCTCTAAATTTTAAGCAGAGAGAAGCTTTAAATGTGTTTGCCAACAAGTGAGCAACTTCTATTTTCTACATGTCAAAATTTGCTGAGTTTATTGTGATGGATTAAATGTAGCATGTAATCCAGAGCTGTCAGATTACTGTCAGGGCACAGCCGTCATAACTGACAAATGTTAATTTTGCAGAAACCGATATGAGAAAACCCTTAAACATTTCTGCAGTAAAAACGGAGTTTGGTGAGGGTTTTAAGTGCTTTTGTTATGTCTTCATAGAAACTTTCCCCAGCTGTTCTGAAGAAACAGTTAATGCAACTGCAAGATAAAATATCTCATTAGTCAACAAAACCACTGTACAATTAAGCTTAATGAATGTTGCATATTTCTATAGGTGGATAATAGCACTGTTCAACCCAAAACAAATGCAGATTAAATTGCACGCTTGCTTCTTATATGTTTGCAGGATATGAAAATAAAACTTTGTACCAGTGTTCTCAGCTCCTCCTACATGTTGCAGTCATTCTTACTGTCGGGTTTGCCACTCATTTTGCAGCATAGAAAATAGAATAAGGGGGGTGAGGTACCATCACTTGGCTGGAAGTGTACTGTTACCAAAATGACCCCCCACTTCTTCCCCATCCAGTCCCTTTAAAAAATAATCATTATTTTAATTTTAAAACATTACTTTCAGTTTTCATGGCAGCTGGTCACATACCTAAATTTCTTGACATTAGTCCATGTCATTTTAGCATAGGGCATTCATTGTAATGTAGCGTCCATGTTTGGTCACATGACCAGATCTCATGGGAGCTTCGAACAGCCCTTTTTTTGCAGGGCAGATGAGGATTTGAGAGCTTTTTTTTCCCTAACCTTTTATTATTACAATGAGGAAAGACTATTTGTTCAAAGATTGGCCTCCCCTATTTTCTTATTAAAGCTCACTCCAGTAGATCTGTGAACGCCTTTTGGGCTACCACCTGGTCTTCCGTTCTTACTTTCTACCAGGTGGACGTTTTTACCTCCTCTGACATAAGGTCCTTCAGATGGCTCTTAGAGCTTCATGCAGTCTCCAGTTCCCTGGTGTTAAATTGGGCCTGTTAGTGTTTGCTGTGTTGCCCACCCCTCAATTAGCTTTCGGATGTCCCAATGGTCAAGAAGGAAAATAGTTTTTTTTATACTCGCTGTAAAATCCTTTTCTTGGAATCCATTGAGGGACACAGATCCCTCCCTTCTGTGTTTGTGATTATTATCTCAGTACTGCTTTGCTAGAAAACTAATAGTAGGAGGAGTTATACCCAGAACCGGTCTTTAGTTTGCCAATATCCACTCCTCCTGTAGACGGCAGTATAATCTAAACTTCCTGGGTCCCTCAATGGACTCCAAAAAAAGGATTTGACGGTGAGTATAAAAATCCCATTATTACAATGAAGATCAGACAGAGTTATTGTTTGTATGTAAGTGCCTGCTGACTGGTCTTTGTTCGCAGTGATAACGTTCTGCTGTTGGCTTAAATTAATTGCATCCTAGGGTGCTTTATGCCAAGTAGGGGTAGGTGGAAAGAAGGAGTTCTGATGGGCCATTGGCCCATGTGAGAGGGGTGGAAAGCCACGAGAGGAGAGGGGTTTATAGAAGAAAAAGGGGGTGGGAGGATGGAAAGGTAGAAGGGGGAGAAGCAATGAGCGAGCTAAGAGGAAAAAGAGAGAAAAAATGTAATTGGGGAAGAGGGAGGGAGTTGTTTGTGTTTGGGGGGGTGGTTGAGGTTAGGGAGAAAGAATAGAAGTGGGGACAGGGACAGAGGGCACAGGTGGATGCCTGGGATGAACAGTTAAGAAGGTAGGTCTCTCCTCTGTGTGGAAGAAGTCCAGCGAGTAAAACCATATTTAGTGAAAGCTTTCCTCTCTACCTTTTTGAAGGTGCTTGTAAGGTCTTCCCTCTTTCCGATGTTATTCATTTTCTTAAGCCAATGTTCTGTCTTAGGAGATGTTGCTTGCCTCCATAATATAGGAATTTACACTATGGCCAAATTAATAATTAGATACTTTTTATGACTCACTTGGGATTGTGTTATGGGTAAGGGTGTGTACATGTCTTGATTTGATGTTACAGTCTACTTTTCTATGTTTTAGTCTGCTGTAATGTCGGCAGCTTTTGCAAAGTTTCACCCCAACCTGGTAGTTGGTGGGACGTATTCCGGCCAGATTGTGTTATGGGACAACAGAAGTAACAAGAGGACGCCAGTCCAGAGGACTCCACTTTCAGCCGCTGCTCACACTGTACGTTTTTGATTATCGCCAGTGCCGTGTGTCACTGTTTCCAGCCCTGCAATGTGTAGGGATGAGACTTTGTCATCTAAGCAAAAGTCACGCCTACTCAAATTTAATCTAGATAATTTGTACGGTATATCAGCTAGCAACTGGAATGATGAACTTTAGAAATCGCACATCTGGAGCTAACATTTAAGCTGATCACACAAATTAAAATCTGACCAGCCAGTAATTTTGTGGTACGAGGGCCTGCCTGATTGCATAAACTTTAAATAGATTGTTTAGGTAGGCTCTCGCATTCCACAGTTTTGGTATATCTAAAGAACAGATAATGTACATGGCCACTCTATTATGACAAAAGTATGAAGGTTGACATTGCTGGGCCTTTTAAAAAAAATATTTTATGCTAGTTGCCTGGCTGTTCCTGGGTTCAATACTCATAAGTCACTGACCCTTGAACAAGCATGCTACCAATGAGTCTCTTATCTCTATATTTGCTCCAGGACAGACAGTATTGAAGCCGATGCATCAGTATAACAGCCAGAGTTAACGTTCTCAAAGAAGAGGTCAGCAATGGTAGCCCCCATACCTTTCTCAGAACAGAGTCACTTTAAGGAAAACCTGTCTCAGATCTGGGCAGTAACTGAACATATGTTAAAAAATGCATGAGCGAAGGTTAAGTTCAGTGATTACCACATCAGCAGATCCACATATTCCGGCAGCTGAGTTATATGCAAATCTTGACCTTTTTTCTGGAGAAATTGAGCTCAGGCCTGTCTGACATATGCAGCATTAACGATTCTGGAATAGGCTATGGCAGTGGCTGAACTATCTGAGAATGAAAAGAAGCAGCCTGTCATTGTCCCGAACAATGTCCTGTGTCTGCCAAAAAATAATGTAGTGCAAGGACCTGCCTGATCGGATACATATTGATTGAATAGGTTAGTTAGGTCCTCATATTCCATCGTTTTGGTAAATCTAAAGCTGATGATACAATGATTGTATGGTCAGATTCTAATGTGTATGTTGACCTGTACCCTGACTGTAGACAGAACAGTCTGGGTAATTCAGATATTTCAGGTCATTTATAGGCTATCATGGCCACAAACAGGGCCACACTTAGAGTATATTTATGAAGCAGTGAATGTGGGTTTCACCAAACTAAGGATGCACCAATACTGGTATCGGTGCTGATGCCAAGTATTTGCGTGAGTACTCGTACTCGCCCAAATGCTCCGATGCCTAGGCCGATATTTCCTGTATCAGGAAGCCGGGCAGCGAGTTATGACACGCTGCCCGGTTTCCTGATTGGCCGGGAAGCCGGCTCCATGCTCCCTCGTCACTTGTAATGACTCGCTGCCCGGCTTCCTGATTGGTCGGGAAGCTGGCCAATCAGGAAGCCGGGCGCCGTGTAATGACACGGTGCCTGGCTTTCTGATTGGCCGGAAAGCCGGCTTCATGCTCTCGCATCACCTCGAGGGAGCATAGAGCAGGCTTCCCGGCCAATCAGGAAGCCGGGCGCGGCATCATTACGCGGCGCCGGCTTCCTGATTCCTGATAAAAATCCGGCTCCATTGGCTAGAAAGCCGGCTCTATGCTTTCTCATCACCTAGTGACGAGAAGCATTGAGGCGGCTTCCCTACTAACCGGGATGCCGTGTGGCGAGTCATTACATGCCGCCCGGCTTATCAGGAAGCCAGATGAAGAGTCATTACATGCCGTCTGACTTCCTTAATGGGACTTCCGGGTATCGGTATTCGGTATCGGTGAGTAACGAAAATCACGTTCACTCCACATGAATCTTCCTGGTGCATGTGTTTTAAAAAAACTATATGATTCATCTGCAGTGAATGATTGGTGAGTTTCAGATTTACTGCTTTATAAATATGCTCCTGAGCTGGTTTGTTGAATTATATTATAAGTTTGGTCATGCTGCATTTGCACATCCTATCATTTCAATTTAAAGAGGAGCTCCAGGAATGGCAAACGTTAATCCTTACAGTGGGGGTACCCACACACTGCAAGGGGTAACTGCTCATTTTTCTCTAGAGGCCAGAATACAGAGGATACACTTGCCTGATCCTCGGTCCTGTGGGGGAGTGCTCACCTCTCCCTCCCCTCCAGCTGTGGTATGTTCCTCTGCGTCCTCATGTCTAACTCAGGTAAATGGGCTGCATATTATGTGATGACATCGGCGGGGCTTAGACTGCAGCCTGGGGAAGAAGAGGCTGCGGGGATCGATCTTGCAGCCAGGCAGAATTAAGGATTAGGTGAGGTTTTTTATGTTTGTTTTTTTGAGCCCCCCAGGCCAAAATGAGCAGTTAACCCTTGCAGTGCAGGGTAGCCCCACCAAGGGCTGAACTTTTTACATTCCTGGAGTTCCTCTTTATGGACAGTTTGACCCCAAAAGTACTTTAGCAAGATTGCATTGCCATTGAAGAGATCCCATGTGCTGTGTTCACATCTATTATTGTGCCAATACGATGAAAACATAAAGCATTTAAATGTGTTGTTTATTCCAGCACCCAGTCTACTGTGTGAATGTGGTTGGCACACAGAACGCCCACAATCTGATCAGTATATCTACTGACGGGAAGATCTGTTCCTGGAGTTTGGATATGTTGTCTCAGCCACAGGTAACTGGACCATGTTAATGTTGAGCAGTTTGTTTTTCTGGAAAAAGAAACAAAAACGTTTCTTTTCTTTGAGTTTTTTTGAATCAAGCTATAAACTGCTTAATATAAGATGATGATAATACATCTCCTCTAAATGTATGAGTGGTCCCTCCTTTCCAGGACAGCATGGAGTTAGTTCACAAGCAATCTAAGGCAGTCGCTGTCACCTGTATGTCCTTCCCAGTGGGAGATGTCAACAACTTTGTAGTGGGAAGTGAAGAAGGCTCAGTGTACACAGCATGTCGCCATGGAAGGTAAGATAAAATCTTCAATGCATCTCAACACAGCAGACGTGAAAGATGTCTCTCTAATGGCACTTCGATACATTAGAATGAACTCCAGGGATTAATGTCTAAGGAAATTGCCCCATTAAGGATGGACAAAAAGCCACCTAATGCCCTGTTCTCCACACTATCTTTTCTTTTGTTCTCTGGTTCCTTCTCTTTTCACCTGTTTTTATCGCCTCGGCTGTTTAAAAATGTAAAGGGAGACTCCAGGCTGCAGTACTAAGTAACCCTCATTAACAGCAACCCTGTACCAGTAGGCTAATATGCGCTAACTCCCTGTACACTTTTTCTTGTGATCCTAAATATGCAAGTAAGGAGGTGCAAGTCTTTTGCCGCATGTTCTCATCAGAAATTAAAGTCAGATATGTCCCCCTGCATTCCTCACAGCGTCTCCGGCCCAAATCACAATAATGGTGCTTGCAGTGATACTCACGGATGGCGCGTGGACATCACGACACATCATGAGGTTGTGCATCACGACCTCATGTGTTTAATGTAATTTCTGATAAGAGGAAATGAACAGGAATCACCAGCACTCAGTGGAAAATATTCAAACGATAAAGTCCATTTAATCGGATAAATCATCATACATGTTGCAATAATTATAACCGACGTTTCGGGGCCACACAGGGACCCTTCATCAGGGCAACAATGTTACACGTCGGTTATAATTATTGCAACATGTATTATGATTTGTCCGATTAAATGGACTTTATCGTTTGAATATTTTCCACTGAGTGCTGGTGATTCCTGTTAATTTCCTCTTATCAGAAATGACATTAAACACATGAGGTCGTGATGCACAATTCACTATGATTTTAGTTGTAAATAAAAATTCAGGCACATAGATGTCTGTGTCAGCTGACAAACCTGTAGTACCTTGATGGCCAGTCATCTACAACTCCGCCTTTGTTTAGGAAAAACAATGCCCTCTGGGTGACCTATGTACAGTATATTGCAAGCGTTTCAGCAACGTTTGTTGCAAATTTTTACCTTTTTCGGTTTTTAAAATATGGCTGTTTCAACATGTCTGTTCCCTACTGATTGATGAATGTGAAGCTCTGCACTCATTAGGACTACCTGTGCAACTATCAGTGTACTTATAGTGAAAGTTGCAGTGTTGGCATCCCTTAAGGGTGCCAACATTGAAATTCCTATTGCAGGGGATGCCTAAAATGTTACTTGTATCTTAGTGCAGATGTCTGAGAAAATCAGAGAGCCAATCGCAGAAACAGAAAATGACATTTGTGTAGGAATGTTGTACAGAACGCCTCCAGGTAGCCATATTGCATTTCATCTTTTGACAGTTTTTGAATATTGCAGCTGCTTCAGATTGAAATGCAAAGGTAATTTTCAATAACATTAAATTACAAAATTGTGTGTCTATACATTATTATACAGGATTTATATAGCGCCAACAGTTTGCGCAGCGCTTTACAATATAAGAAAGACATTGCAATTACAATACAATTCAAGACAAGCTCGTAAGGAGGGCCCTGCCCCTGAGGGCTTACAGTCTAAAAATATATATATTTACAAAATGAGAAAATGTTTCAGGTTTCAGAAATGATCTTTATATAGGGAAGACAAGAGCCTTGTGGAGGTTATGAAAAAAAATGGTATATTGTATGCAAATTTTTAATTAAATAAATATTTTGTTTTTTTATTGTTTTATAGTAAAGCCGGAATAAGTGAAATGTTTGAAGGCCACCAAGGACCAATTACAGGCATCCACTGCCACTCCGCTGTGGGGGCCGTGGACTTTTCCCACTTGTTTATCACCTCTTCATTTGATTGGACGGTGAAGCTCTGGACAACAAAGGTAAATAAGGACAAAGTATACTTGCTGCAAGAATGGTAAACTCTCAGGAGTACCTGTAGGCATTAAATGATCATTGCCCTGCCCTGCTGAGTTTGGCACAATCTGATGATTGCTTGATCCATGGGCAACTTTAGACCTCTGCAGACCAACTTAACCCTTTCGCTGCCAAGCCCTCCGGAACATTTTTCAAATCAGTTGGCCAAGCCATTTTTGAATTTTCTGCAATTTTTTCCTATTGATTTGATTTTCAACTGCTGCGTTGCTAGCGTTTGTAAAAGACCCCCCAAACCATATATTTTCTGAAAGCGCAGGCCCGGTAGAATAAAAAGATGGTGTGAGCCGCTGATGACAGCTATTAATTTAAAGGGGACAGTCTGCTGAACAGTTCTACTATAAGCTGATGGTCGCTAAAGCGACCATCAGCTTATAGTAGAACTGTAAATGCCAGGTCCGTATGGCATACTGACCTGGCCAGCTGGAAGCACTTTTGTAGGTCCGTATGCCATACGTCCTTGGCAGCGAAAGGGTTAATAGTCTTTGGGAGAAGGAGCCTAACCAAAGTGCTTTGTCCTGGCATTGCCCACGTTTTCAAATATTAGTGCTTGCAGGGGGTGATCCCTGCGCTGATGAACCTCAGGGTATAAATGGCCAGTGGAAATGCACTGTAATAACCTGACTGTAACTGCTAATAACTTCCATTGGTACACAGCGCAGGTCACCTCTTTAGAAAAGAACTGGTGTATACAGGAATGAAGATTATCCCCGTCTATATAACACCAGAACAGAAAAAGCTGTAGATACAAAATCATGAAAGAAATAAGAATGGTGCAGATCTTCTGATGTCATAGTGAAGTAAGGCCTGTATGAACACATGGGGAGTAAAGGTGGTGTTTAATGGACCGTATGAGCTCTGTGTTTCTGATATATATTTGTGCTCATGCTTTTCTATAGATGATATTTGTCTATAAGACATAGCCATCAACACATCTTGCTTCTCATTTCTGTCAGGGGCTTGTTTTACTTGCTTGCTCTATCACGATCTCTGGCTTCCCACCTCTCATCATACACTCGAAATACCAACTGTCACACTTTCCTCATTGGCTTGTGGGCTCAATAAATACTTCTGAATATCCATTACTACACGTTTTCCTTTTACAGTTTACTTTTTTCTGTTGCTAATTGCAAAATGGGAAGATATTATATTTGTAGTTATTCAGTTAGGCCTTTCCTGTTCTCTGTTCAGACTGTGGTGGTGTGTAGTGACTTGATCAATGTTGATCAGATAGAAAACAACTGTTCACACTGCGACACTGTCCCCCACTGCCACACAACAGATGCTAACCTGCACGTTCTAGCTGATCATTCGTGTGAATGGGGCCTTAGTTTGCTGATCTCTGCTCTAAAACCCAAAACAGGAGCAATGGAAAGTGGAATTGTGACTCGGAGCAAACAATGAGATTACAGATGTTATTTCTCTTGTTCTGAAGTGGAAGCTCAAACTTGATTGGCTGCTGGGATTGACATCTTTGATTTTCCTTTCCTCCGAGTGAAGGGGGACCGGAAACTCGAGGAAAGGCAAATGGAAGATGTTAATCCCAGCAGCCAATCAGGTCTTAGCTTCCACTTTTATTCTACTTACTAAGGCTGTTTTCCAGCACATACAAATGGCCTTTGCGGAGTCTGTGGTAACACTAGGGGCTGCTTTTCACACTTCTGTAGAACATACGCATAACGTTGGCGGCTTTACGGAATAATTCCATTTACAGAAATAAAACAATCTTTCCTCCCCAGACACAGTACCAGTAGTACGTGTGTGTTTCTGAAGTGTTGTTAGATTGAAATGATTATTAAAGGTAACTGAGTAGAGTTTCATTTGATGTGTTTTTATTTCCTGTGACGCGGGGTCACGGCTGAAAATCCAGCAATATTTTACTTTTCTGTTTTCTGTCAGATGCCAGTGAAAACGTTTTTTTTACTAAGAGATGACATTCAAAAATGTTTAGTGTGTGCATAAAAGATATTTATCCGGCGTCATAATGACAACAAAAAAAGAATCATTTTAGACAAAATAATACTTCAGACATCCTCCATGATGTTCAGCTGTCAGTCAGAGCTGCGATTCTTTGAATAAATTGTATGTAAGTGTAGCACTATCGCTACTTTGTGAGGGAGGTAATTAGGCAGAAACACGGGAAGGTAGCAATCTTCAAATGTAAGTATTAGTGCTGTTTTAGATAGTAAAATAAACCCACATACTATATACACATCGCTCACTTACCTCTATTTCTATACTTGACTCCTGACAAACCTGTAATCATCCCTCTGCAAAATATTCCTCAGATTTACTATAAATCAAACCAAACAGCTTTTTTTGGTGTTAGTGTTTTTTAAAGGCACTTCCTTAAGAGGGTTTTAAAGCGAATCGTTCATCATGTCTCAAAGTATAACTAATGAAAGATACAATACGGGGTAATTCCTGGAAGTAAAATCTGGAGTCCAGCTCTAGCGGATTAAAGGTCCATCAGTAACCTGTTCATGTAAAGCTTTGCCTTAGTCTGAGTATTATAAAGTCCATTGTCTCCAGATTTAGGGCCTGTGTCGATGGGCAATTGCATTTCACTTGAGATGTTTCTGAGATCCTTCACAGTTCATTGGCAGATGCATCAGACTTGCAGTTGATCTTCTTCAGACATGCGTTTTGACCACCTCCTAAGCTTTCTCAATCTATTTCCAGCTACTTTTCCAATCCCATATACTTTCATGCAAAAAGAAGCAGTTATGGTGCCATCAAAATCCTGCCAACATAAGATCTTAGTAAGCCTCTCACGTGGCTTTGGGTGGGCTTGGAGCCTCTTTTACTTAACTGACCAAGAAATAAAGGCTGCACAGCTTAGGGTGTTTGCAGGCAAGATTGCAGTATACTCTAAAGAGGGCAATGCTTGAATCTGAAAGCACATGGAACTGCATTTTCCCAGGATGCAAATTAGAACCAGTATCAGCAGGCTATGGTTTAGTGTCATTGGACCAACGCAGCTTGCTTAAAGGAGAACTATGGGGTCAGGGCTTTTCCCCATAGTTCTCCTTAGGGTAACGGGAGGACACAAACTAGCGTCCTCCCGTCACCCTAAGCTATACTGAGACGCCGGAGCGTATCCCGACAACGATGTCGAGATCCGCCCAGCTGCGTGAGTGACAGCTGGCTCTGCCTATCTAGATGCAGAGCCAGCTGTACCCGCCCCGTCCGTTCCCCCAGTCAGCGCTGGCAGATCGGAGCGGGGAGAGGGGAATCCAGCCCCTCCCCCTGTCACGGCAGAGAGCCGTGACAGGATCGAGAAGTAAGCGAACACCGGTATGTATTCGCTCACTTCCCGATCTACTAAGCTGACCTGTGACAGTCTCATTGTCACAGGTCGGTTAGAAATATGAGGTGAGTGAAAAGCGCTCACCTCATAGTTCTCCTTTTAAGGGTGAGTCCTGCTTGTATTTGGCATAGCTTGAGATGCTTCATTGTATGGAGAGAGAAGCAGTTCTTATGCGGGCTAAAGCTTGCAGGCACTCTGGCTGCCTTGCCTGAAGGCCTGAGTTGACGGACTTTTATTCCCCATGCATAGCGCTGAAAACTTTCCTTAGGCAAAGATGACATGATATAGAGCAACTGTGATTTGTTTTTGTTTTTTTTATACATCTCCAACAGTAGTAGTGATTTGCTGCCCTTGGCAGTATGTGTAATGTAAGCTATGTTTGCTGACAATACTCAGTGATAGGAGACAGTACACAGTGCTGATTATCAGGCTCTCATCTATGCTCTTCACTGCTCTGCTCATGCCAATAACTCTGTACTAGTGATCAATGGAAAATCAAGCCATTCATAACCCCAGACAATTGCGATACATGAATTGTACGATTCTCCGCAGATTGGACAACGCTGCATCACAGTCCAGCGAATGAGAGAAACAAAATAAGAGGCAAAATGACATTATAGCTGCTTTTAAGAATCATTTTCTGATCAGTAATGTTTGCTGAGTTCTCACAACAGTGGTAGTTCTACATGTAAGGACTCGTTCACATTATGTCTGGAGACCTGTGTTTTTTAGCACCTGAACAGTGCATATCTCTACAAGGGCAAATAGCAAACTATTGTACCCCTTTCACAGCACAACGAAGTGGTAGGGTGCGGAAAAATGCTGAAGGTTTGCTTGTCAATCCCACAAGTCAGATACTGTAGCTGATGGGACTCTTCTACTTTTATTGGTTGTATTCTAATGCAGGCTCTAGGATTGGACTGACATACGCTCGAATCCTCCATTCCTTTGTCCTCCTCGTGCTTTATTGTTGTTTGATTTTGTCCTGCACATTGAGTATCTGTGTCTTTCTTTTCTAGAATAATAAACCTTTGTATTCGTTTGAAGACAATGCGGACTATGTCTATGACGTCATGTGGTCTCCTACTCATCCAGCTCTGTTTGCTTGTGTGGACGGTGTAGGAAGACTGGATTTATGGAACCTCAACAATGATACAGAGGTGAGCCATAGACTTACAGGGGCTCATTCAGCATCCTATGGGTCTGTCTTTTTTTACTTACATAATGTGATAACAGCTCATCCATTTCTCTTGTCGGGGCATTTATATCATTCAGGTAAATAGTCACAAACCTGTGAAGATTATTTGCTGAATTCCTCCTACTGGCTGAGCATATAGACACAATTTTTCAGGTGTAATTACTTTTCTTTACTTGTATCTGTAGTAAGATTAGATCCACTCCTCCACCTCTTTTAGACTGAAATCTCCATATCCCTCTTTCCTGATCAGTCATAAAGTGGATGTACTTACATAAGTTTGCCCCCCAGTTTCTGCTCTAGGGAAACCAGTAAACTATGAATACAGTGTGGTTATATTACACTGCACAAGGATTCCCCCTCACTGCTATTAAAGAGGACCTGTGCTGTGTAAGCAGTGTCCAGAAGAGACAAGCATGGGACAAACCGCTTCGTTACCAGTATAGTCTGTGATCACTGCAGCTGATCTTTTCCCCATTACTGACTCTCCATGTCTTGTTCTGCACTATGTGTCTGCGTGTCTTGGCAGCCATATTGGTAAATGAGCAGAGCGCTGCTTCCCCATACGTCAGTACTACCCTGCTGATTGGTGATCTGAAAACTGATGGGGAAATCTTCAGGAAGCGGTAAGAGAGGTGAAGGAAGCACAGATCTGTAGAATAAATGAAGCAGAGCGGTCCTCAGGTTCAGCTTCCGCTCCTTCAAGGTGAACAATGAGTCACATAGTAGTGACATCACGAAATCTCGTTAGAGGCTTTAGATGATCTCACACTGAAGATATACAGCTATGAGGCTCAGGCACAGGACATGCAATGCTAAATTTCAGGAGGAATTTCAGGAGGGAAGGCAAAAGGTAAATCTTTCCTACTGCTTAGGCACAATTAACATTTCTAGATGTTCATGTCCTCATTATATGGATGCGTATCCAAAGGATAGCATTTAGTCATGTTTTTAAAAGTTGACTGTAACTTGTCTTTTGAACAGGTACCGACGGCCAGCATCAGTGTGGAAGGAAACCCGGCCCTTAATCGTGTCAGATGGACTCACTCCGGGAGGGAGATCGCTGTAGGAGACTCCGAGGGGCAAATCTTTATATATGATGTTGGAGAGGTGCGTCAATCACTTTTGTTTTTTAGTTGGACATTGTTGTTCCCAGCGTCATATTACAAATAATCATCAGTGCCAGAAAATGCACAACCGCAGTTCTGACTTTTATTATGGTCGGTTTGAAGCCTGACATGAAGGCTTGAATTGTTTCAAGTATAAAAGCGTTGCTACACTTTTGCTGTGGAAAGCAGCCTGGTTCCAGCTGTCATGTTCTTGGTGCAGGAATTAGAAGGGCAGTTTTGGCACCTGCACTGAACAAGTAAGAGGGGTATAATTTACTAATCAAGAAGTGATGTGAGTGAACGTTAGTGTGTTTGTTGCTTGTAAAGTGTGTTGGCGTTGCATGCTTTTAAAATGTTTAATAAAATAGACAATTCTGTGTGCTATTCCTAACCAGCCAGTAGTATGCCATCACATTAATGCTTATTGTGAGCTTAAAGTGAACCTATCCTGACTGCCAAATGAATTAGTCCTTGGTGGCCAACAAGCGGGCCACAGGCTGTATGCAGCCCACTAGTATACAGTCCACTGTATCAAGTCTAATCTCCCATCAGGTCTGTAGCAAAGTAACAGATGGGCTTTAATGATGGAACCACCGGCTGTCACTGATGGCCATGGCCTAGCACTGAGCCAGAATCTGAAACTCAGTTCCTGGGCATCTGCTCCTGCTACCATGCTCTCCGTAGGAGCGCCGGTAGCAGGCAATGTAAACACAATGCAGAACAATGCAATTAAAACGGACTCCTAGCACTTTCTAATAGAATGTAAGCTCAGACATAGCTCTGTCCAGCATCTCCCTGCAGTAGTAGATCATTGCTATAGTGATCTATTGCTGACTGATTGTAGGCAGCAATAGATTACTATTAGAAGTGATCTATTGTTGCATGGGGGCTGGATCATGTCTCCACAGAACAGATCCAGACCCTTCATGAAGGTTAAAAAAAAAAATAGGATATCCATAAATTAATATAAAAACTCTCCCTATTTCACACCAGGGTTGCACCAAATACTTTGGGAGTTGTGGGTGACATTTGTGTTTTCTGTATATGGAAGCACAATGTCATTTCGAATTTTAACTCATTTTAGTGCGCCTAACACTCCTTAACAAAATCACTTTTTTTTTTTTAATGCAGCGCCCCGCAAAACACACACCATGTGCATTGTGGTGAGCTGCAGTGCGGGTGCATTGCCCTTTACTGTAACAGCGAGTTGTGGTGTCATTCAAAACAAATGGTACCACAGTGGTGCACAGGTTCCCATGTGTTGTGGTAACTCGCAGTATGACGCGTTTCACCGCACGTTAACACAGCACAATTTTATGAAAACAAAACCTCCGGACATGTTGGGGGCACAACTGAGGCCCCCTATATACACTAAATTGACCACCACTGGTAAAGACTAACATTACTGGTCAAGTGAAGACAGCACTGTACCTGCACATCAGTTTATTATTGTCTGGGGAGGAGCCTGGATCTTAGACCCAGGTTGTATACAGGGCCTTGTCATATCTCCGGGCTGGGATTAAGTGGGATTAAGCTGTACCCCCTACCTGCACTAAGCCCCCACCACTGTCCTTTAGGTGTCAAATGCTAGATCATCAACTGGTGGTCTTGTATTTGGCGGTTTAATGGCAAAGGGCATGGAAGGAGAATCTCGGCTTGGAGAGAAGACGAGGCTCTGTATACAGACTGGTTCACCTCTGGCACATAGGAATCCATGAAGACAAGCACCTGTAACTTCTAGCAACCAATCGGATTATAATTTATTAAAATCCAAGAACACAAATTGATCATTCTGGGTTATTTCATAAATCTATCAGCACTCGGGAGCTACTAACGTTTTCTCTTTTACAGCAAATTGCCGTGCCACGGAATGACGAATGGACCCGCTTTGCCAGGACACTTGCTGAAATCAATGCCAACAGGGCCGATGCCGAGGAAGAAGCCGCCAACCGCATTCCTGGTTAAACTCCGTGCAGATTTTGATAACTGGGAGATCAACACTGACCTAACAATCCCTCCAGAGCACTAGCATGTGTCCATTGAAAAGATAATGTCAGAAGAGTTGTGTGGCTGGGATCTGTGGACTCCAATGTTTTATAAACTTCATTGCAACCCAATGCAGCGTCCCCTTTTATTTATCTGTACGTACATGCCCCCGACCTGCAGTTATAGCTAACAAAGTACAGCTTTATTTACACTATTGGACAGGCTGCTCAGGCATTTCCCACTTTTTAAAATCCAATTAACTTCCAAATATGAATCTAGAACTGGTTTCTCCTCCGCACCATTAGGGCCGTGTGTGTGTTGAAGTGATTGCTGTAGTCCCAGCACACACAATAACTGCATGCCATTGGACACTTCCTGTAGCTTTCATGTTAAAACCATTACCTAGGCTGCCATTTTATTAAAGAAAAATGTTTCTAACTTGACATTTCCAATGATTGTATTGTCCTGTGTCAATATATAGTAAAGACCGATAGCTTATTGTAATAAATGTGACTGGACGTCTCTTCTGTGTGAAAATGTCGACATGCTGGAACAAATTGATGAAAACCGAAAGAAAAGGAAATTGCTTTGCTCACCTCAATCAATTCAGCCCTTCCAATCTTTATTCCTCCGAACCTGACTCCTGTGATCAGCGAGGACACTCTCTTCTTCCCTCTGATTTGTTTCATTGTGGGGAAGTGATGTAAATTCCAGTGGTAACATATTCTTAATAAGCAGTAAGAAGGCTTTTAATTAAATCCTAATAGTCTTCTGTAGCTACAGGCACTGTGGAGAAATTCATCCTCAAAGTTCAAATCAGAAGCTGTTAAAGAAGAACTCGGGGGAAAAATATGTATTAAAGGAGAACTATGGGGTAAGTGTTTTTCCCCATAGTTCTACCAAGGGTCACGGGTGGATCTAAACTAGCGTCCTCCCGTCACCCAAAGCTCAGTATGTAGCGAGCTATAGCTCGCGGTATACGGAGACCGCCGCAGCCGGGACCGATCCCAACATTACTGTCGAGATCCACCCAGCTGCGTGAGTGACAGCTGGCTCTGCCTACCTAGAGGCAGAGCCAGCTGTACTTGCACCTTCCCCATCCATTCCTCCAGTCAGCGCTGAAGGGGGGGAATCCCTGCGGGTCGCAAGCCGCTGTCCTCGTCCCCGCCGCTCTCCCCTTGTTAAATAACATTTATCAAGGGGAGAGAACCACAGCAATTGCCGCTCTCAGGGAATCTGCCGCTCCAGGCAAACGCCTTGTTTGCCTCGCGGCAGATACGCCCCTGCCTGCGGGGGGTGATGACTGACAGTCACGGCTCTCTGCAGGGAGATGATCGACAAGTCAGCGAGCGACGGTATGTGTTCGCTCACTTCCCGATCTATAGAGCCGACGTGTGACAGTTTCATTGTCACATGTCGGCTCGAACTATGAGGAGTGATTTTTCCCTCACCTCATAGTTCTCCTTTAACCCTTGCAGTGAAGCTACCCCCGTCTCTGAAAGGGTTAAATGCTGGTTTATGTCTAGGAGCTAAAGAAAAAAAAAAGTTATACTCACCTGATCATTCGAGACGACTTGTTCATAGATCGGTCCCAAGAGCCTCTTCCTCTGCAGAATCCTTGTTTCATCACATTCTATACCAGTTTATAGACGTGGGGACGCTCAGGAACACTCCATCCCAAGGACCGGAGACAAATAGGAGCAGTTAACCCTTGCAGTGCGCGGGTAGCCCCACTGCAAGGGTTAATGAAAGTTTTCCTTGGAGTTCTTTAATAATAGTAATTAAAGTCTTTCTATCAGCTGTTCTGTTTCTCAGTTCCCAGAGCTCCTGCTCTGTGTTTACATTGGAGATTGGAAGGCGGCTGAGTCACTGTTGGGAGGGGGAGCTGAGCTGTGGGAAGAAGAACTTGAAGGATTTTTAGATCTTATGAAAATGCTAGTTGCCTGGCTGAGTGCAGAGAGTTTTGGCTTTCCTTCTCAGTGCCTATTCCAGGTCAGTGACTCAAAGTACCGGAGCTAGAAACAGCCGGGGAACTGGTATTCTCCGCAATGGCAACATGTATATTTCCCTCAGTGCAGGTTTCCGTCAATAGGTAAGTGCACTTTAGAACAAGTTTAACGGATCCGCCACTTCCTGTCCCCAGAGCTTCACCACAGAGGCCCAAAGAGACCAGCTAGCCTGACAGATGAATCAAGGTAACAACAAGAACTGGGCAGGCTGGACGTTTTATCCTGGGGCCGGAGGCTGGGCTTTTTATCCTGGGGCCGGAGGCTGGGCTTTTTATCCTGGGGCCGGAGGCTGGGCCTTTTATCCTGGGGCCGGAGGCTGGGCTTTTTATCCTGGGGCCGGAGGCTGGGCCTTTTATCCTGGGGCCGGAGGCTGGGCCTTTTATCCTGGGGCCGGAGGCTGGGCCTTTTATCCTGGGGCCGGAGGCTGGGCTTTTTATCCTGGGGCCGGAGGCTGGGCTTTTTATCCTGGGGCCGGACGTTTTATCCTGCGGCCGGAGGCCGGACTTTTTATCCGGAGCCGGACGTTTTATCCTGCGGCCGGAGGCTGGACGTTTTATCCTGCGGCCGGAGGCTGGACTTTTTATCCTGCGGCCGGACTTTTTATCCTGCGGCCAGACTCAGTCTTCAGCTTGGCTCTCATAATGGAGCAGAGGGTGATGAACACTCCACTATTTCTGGGCAGTCACAGTTTGCTTATTCTTTAAAGGAAATCTTAAGGGGCATATTTATAAAGCTGTGAATATGACATTTACCAAACATTCACAGGTGGTAAATCATTGCTTGAAATGTAAAACCCATGCTGCAGGAAGATTCACCGGCAGTGAATATTTGATGAATTTTATAAATATAACTAAATACTAAAATAAATACATTTTAATGAGACTTTTACGTTACATGTTACTGGATCGCTTTGCATTATCATGGCCATATAGTATATATGAGTTTCTACACTTGCTGGCAAACTGCATCTTTACTGAACTCCTGAGATAAAATCATTTACAGGGTAAGTCATTATGTGATTGTTTTGCATTTAGTTATTTTTACCTAACAGGGTCATTGATGCAAAGTGTGCAGTAAAGGAAAACCAAAGCTTTTAATGTCTTGTTTTTTATATGTGTATGTTTAGAGTAAGTAGATGGTGTATTGTGTTCAAATACTTGTTTCTCTGGATAATTTGTTTGTGCTGCATGTGCTGTGCAGTTGCAGAACTGACTCTGTGCATGTGCTGTGCAGTTGCAGAACTGACTCTGTGCATGTGCTGTGCAGTTGCAGGACTGACTCTGCGCATGTGCAGTTGCAGAACTGACTCTGTGCAGAACTGACTCTGCGCAGTTGCAGAGCTGACTCTGCGCATGTGCTGTTGCAGAGCTGACTCTGTGCAGTTGCAGAACTGACTCTGCGCATGTGCAGTTGCAGAACTGACTCTGTGCAGTTGCAGAGCTGACTCTGCGCATGTGCAGTTGCAGAGCTGACCCTGCGCATGTGCTGTTGCAGAGCTGACCCTGCGCATGTGCTGTTGCAGAGCTGACTCGGTGACCTTTCATTTCACATGTAGGCGAGTTGTAGGAAGTCCAGGTGGCCTATAAGCTGCACCACCGTACAGGGACATCCTTATAGCTCGAAGTTGCTGAATATTTTTTGTCTTCTCCATCTTCACTCTGGCAGAAGGAAAACAGTCTCCTGCTTTAATAAATGGTTTATGAAGAGATGAGATGGTTTTATTTCCAGCACATCCTCTCTGCGTCCATCTCTCTTCTCCTCCGGTATATTGGTGGTGATTAGTGCGAATGGTGTGAACCACCCTCGAAGATTGAATGAAGTGCATCAAGTGAAAATTGCTGGAAAAATGAGATACAAGAAATTGTTCCTACAATTTTTTCCGGAGATCCCGCCGCGAGGGAGAATGTCTGTCAGTCTCAGGCTTCCTTGAGAGGTTTAAAAACACTTCATGCAAACCTCTTCGTTGCTACAGAGATTACGGAGCAGAATCCAGTGTGCAGTGTAACGATGTAATACCCTTTCTAGCAAGGACCCATCATCTCAGGCACAGTCCTCGGTGTTCTATTGGAAGGCTTTGTGAGTGCTCAGAATTGGGAGAAATAACATCTACAACCTCGTGTAAAAGTTTCATCAAAATCTTTATTGGCAATCAGGTTGTCAGAGTGCCGTTCCCTGACCCCTGAGGAATACAAGCCCCATTGGAGATGAATTCATAAACCGTTTCCAGCTTGGCAAGCCGCACTTATTAAATGAATGCATACTGTATGGTGGTTTGTTCATATGCCACAGGGCTATTCACACAAAGTTGGAGAGTCTGAAGAAGACAGAAGGGAACAATCTAGGACAAAATAGCTGATTTGGATAAATTCTCTAATTCGGCTCACTTTCCAGTTCAGCTATGTTGTCCTAGATTGTCCCCTTCTCCCGCTTTCTCCAAACTCTTCACCCTTTTCTGAATAACCCTGCTGGGGATTTTTAGGAGAAGGTCTTACCAATGGCATGTCACCTCCACTGTCTCCCAGTCTGCTTTGGGAGCACCAAAACCTGAGCTGATTATTTATGCAAATAATGACTGAGTCAATGTGACCTGGTCTCTGATGGGTCCCTTCTCACCTCCCAAGCTTCTCGGTCAGCCCATCACTATGACAGGGCTGAGTAGTATTTAGGAGTGAGAATATGCAGGTTGAAACTCAAGAAGTTTGGTCAATATTTGCATAGCAGTGCTCCCTAGGGTCAGACTTCTAGGGGGGGTTTAGAGCAGAGGTGGGCAAACTCTGACCCTCCAGCTGTTATGGAACTACAAATCCCATGAGGCATTGCAAGATCCTCACAGGCAGAGACAGCTGCATCAAGGGATTTGTAGTTCCCCTGCATCTCGGGGGGGGGTGGCTGGAGTTTGCCCACCCCTGTTTTAGAGGAAAGTGTCTGTGACATGGAGGTACTTGCTATGAAATGCAACTGCCAGTTTAAGGACAAATTTGTGCACAGGTACACTTCAAAATTGAACACCAGGAACAACATTTTTATTTAAATATATTCGTCAAATGACCACATTTGGTGCACACCATGTTGTGTGCACCAAATGCCTTCCCAATCCCTTTCTAGGCATGACATCATCACTGTGCTATGCAGATCTGTGGGAGGGGCCCAGCAGCTCCACCCACTAAGGCTGCCTGCAGAAAACTACAGGAAGGGGCGGAGACAAGAATAGTCACCCTGCAGGAGAGGGAGCAGCAGTGACTGGTCTTCATTACAGTAAGTTCCTGCACAGAGAGAAAGTCCCACACTGGATTACTGCACAGATCTGGAGGAAATACACAAAGCTCACCAAGATCCAAGGAAGAATACACACGACTCTTGTATTTAGACGATATTTGCTTATCCCGGAGTTCAGTTTTAAAGAAAAAGATCTAAGCATTCAGTATTTCCACT